GACTTTGGGTACCTGCTCTGCCTCGTACCCGTCCCCGCGGCATTTTGGGGTGTCCCGCATGCACCCCAAGGGCACGCACGTGCTCCTCTTTGCCCAGACCCCCTTGGGCCCAAGCGAAGTGCCTGCTCTGCCTCGTACCCGTCCCCGCGGCATTTTGGGGTGTCCCGCATGCACCCCAAGGGCACGCACGTGCTCCTCTTTGCCCAGACCCCCTTGGGCCCAAGCGAGTGGCCAGGCTGTGCTGTGGTGGGACTTGGGGGAGGCACCAAGGTGTCAGCCATGGCCTTCCAGCTTCACTGAGGTGTCAGCCATGGTCTCTGAGCCTCCCCAAGGTGTCAACCATGACCTTCCGACCTCCCCGAGGTGTCAGTCGTGGCCTTCCACCCTCCCCAAGGTGTCAACCATGACCTTCCAACCTCCCCAAGGTGGCAGCCATGACCTTCCAGCCTTCCCAAGTTGTCAGCCATGGCTTTCCAGCCTCCCTGAGGTGTCAGCCATGACATTCCAGCCTCCTCAAGGTGTCAGCCATGGCCTTCCACCCTCCCAAGGTGTCAACCATGACCTTCCAACCTCCCCAAGGTGTCAGCCTTGACCTTCCAGCCTCCCCGAGGTGTCAACCATGGTCTTCCAGACTCCTTGAGGTGTCAGCCATGGCTTTCCAGCCTCCCTGAGGTGTCAGCCATGACATTCCAGCCTCCTCAAGGTGTCAGCCATGGCCTTCCACCCTCCCAAGGTGTCAACCATGACCTTCCAACCTCCCCAAGGTGTCAGCCTTGACCTTCCAGCCTCCCCGAGGTGTCAACCATGGTCTTCCAGACTCCTTGAGGTGTCAGCCATGGCTTTCCAGCCTCCCTGAGGTGTCAGCCATGACATTCCAGCCTCCTCAAGGTGTCAACCATGGCCTTCCACCCTCCCAAGGTGTCAACCATGACCTTCCAACCTCCCCAAGGTGTCAGCCTTGACCTTCCAGCCTCCCCGAGGTGTCAACCATGGTCTTCCAGACTCCTTGAGGTGTCAGCCATGGCTTTCCAGCCTCCCTGAGGTGTCAGCCATGACATTCCAGCCTCCTCAAGGTGTCAGCCATGGCCTTCCACCCTCCCAAGGTGTCAACCATGACCTTCCAACCTCCCCAAGGTGTCAGCCTTGACCTTCCAGCCTCCCCGAGGTGTCAACCATGGTCTTCCAGACTCCTTGAGGTGTCAGCCATGGCTTTCCAGCCTCCCTGAGCTGTCAACCATGACCTTCTAGCCTCTCCGAGGTGTCAGCCATGGCCTTCCAGCCTCCCCAAGGTGTCAGCCATGGGGGCTGCTTGGCCCCCGATTTGAGAGGCCCAGTAAAAACTAACGAGATAAAGAAGCTCTCTGAGGACTCGGTTACCGTCCTTATCGGCAATTAATTATAAAAGGGGAGACAGAAGAGCTTGGTTTGCACCTGGAGGAGAAAGTGGCCGTGTCCGGGGAGGTGTTTACGTCCGGTGGCGGTTTGTCATGCCAGGTTTACTCCCTTACACTGGACACCCCTCTCCAACCAAGATGTCTGCAAGCTGTCCTGGAGCTTTGCAAGCTCTTCGGTGGGTGCCCCGTGCCAAGGCTGTGCAGCGACGGAGAGGTGTCGTTGTCCCTGGAAGGAGAGGGGCTGTGCACAGCTCCCAGGGGATGCCATGCGCTCGGGCACCGTACGACCGCGCTCAGCGCCGGGCCCCTCACCCCCAGCAGGACATGGGGGGGCTGGAGAAGGGCAGCGAGGCTGGGGAGGGAGCTGGGGGACAAGGCTGGGGAGGGGGCT